TTTTCTTGATACCTAAAAATGCCAGCAAGCTTAATTTTTTTGTCTTGTATCTCTGGCCGGAAAAGCAGGCCTGTCTCCCTCTGAGGGAATATCAGGAATGTTGCCTAAGTGGAGTAATTAATGTCCCTCTCTTTGCTTTGAAAACACAATGGTTGATGAGACTATATATAGGTCCCATCATTAGAAAATAGCCAGGGAAAGCTATTGAGATACAGTGACAATAGGCTCAGACTCTCTCTAGAGGCAGGTCTTTAGGAAAGGGAAAAATGGAACACTGTGGTGGTCTCAGTCCTCTTTCTGTTTCAGCCACCACTGGGGAGGCTCTTGGCACCAATGTTACTCCTGGCAGTTCCAAAACTGGTGGGTCCACATGTGGTCTGGGAAGACTTCAGGACTCCTGTGATAATTAGATGTCTCCTGAGTTATTATGCTATAAATGAGTAATATGATATTTTGTTCATAGCCCTTGAATATCTTCCAAATATGTCTTTTGAATTTTCTCTCTCAGAGGCTACAACCACCCTCATAGGACATGGAACGACAAGAGGTAAAGGAGCCACAGGTGACATTTGCTTGGTCAATTGCATACCCCATAAAGGTGGTGCCTTGAAATGTATCCATGCCACTGTTACTTCTGTATTAAGAACATTTTACTATTGTTCATTGACAATTTTCCAGAACTCAGATTTCATTTTATTTCTGTGCTTTGAGGCAGACTTCCTCCCCACCCCCAAAGCCAGTGTGCAGCTCTTTGGCAGTTATATAGTTGTCTAGACAGACAAGTTCTGTCTCCTGGTCCTGAACTCTAGAGAAAAGGAGGCCTAAGAAATAAAAATATAGTGTTGGTAGATTTACTATTGCAAGGGTATTAGCTGATGGGTATATAGATTACCTTTTGGGATTAAAAGCCCAGTTTACTGAAATAAGAATGAATATGCATTTTTGGCATTTATTTTCTTGTTACGTTTTTCCCACTTCTTGATGACGAGGTATTGACCATGACTACCCATCCTTTCTTAGTAGCTACTCTGGGCAATTTCCGGAAGACTCTGGAACCTGGGAATGACAAGACAGGTAAATTCAAAGCACACAGGGATTGCCACACAAGGCTCCTCAGGTGACAGATCCTAAGATAACATAACCCTGCACTCCCCCACAATCCAGACTAACCTGCCTTTCTTCTCTCTCAGAGCCACAAGTTCACAGGAGAGGGCAGGACCACTGGATCAAAGAGCTCCAGAGGTGAGCTTTGTCAGCCTGAGGCTCTGGATTCTCTTCCTTTCCCAGGTTTTTAAATACTGTGATAAATACATGAGAATTAGGACAAGGATAGTGAGCGAGTTCTAATCCTGAAGGACAACATGTGTGCTGCCCACCTGGGCCATTCTCCTAAAGAATTTCAGACCTGGTTGTCTGTGTCAGGCAATCCCACTTCCTGTGTGACAGCGTCAGTTCTATGGACATGTGCTTGGGGCCAAGTATCCTGCAGCAACCTCCCAAGAATCCCCAGTTCTCTCAGGTCTGCTCTTCATGATTCTCCAAAAGTCTATCACCTCTTAACAACTATGTAACATCTTTATACTAGGTCTTGCTTATTTTATGTTCCCTTCCCCACAAATGCAAATTTCACCAGGCAGAAACCTTGTTCTTCTCATTGCCAGAAGAATGTCAGGCACAGAGGAAATGTTTCAAACTCTTAAGATGAGTAACAATGATGTTCTTATATAGAGTGTCACTGCGTTTACTTGAGTAACTACCACCATGGTTTCACTTGCTGTCAGCATCAATTCCTGGGGTGCCCAAGCCAGTTAGGATGGGCTGCGTAAAATCACCAGTGGAAGCTATAGATATCACACATGTGTGTTGTGAACACTTGATTATGACACTGTCACCAGTTATACAAGTGAGATCAGTTAAAAAGTTCTAGATATTTCCTCTGTCTGGAACACCCAGGAGCCAAATAATTGGCCGTGAAATAGGTAAAGTGAAATTAAGCTTCCTTCTCTTTCCTAATCGTCTACAGTAGAAGGAACACACAGCAGCAAAATCTTAGTAATTTGGCCAAAAAAAACCCCCCAAAACAAACAAAAAATAAAACAAACCAATTCATGGTTCATTTTATCTGGAAACAGAAATTTTCCTATAGTTCAGGACGATATTATTGTTTCCAGTATTGCTTATCTCGGAACTCCTTTGCTTTTCTCATTTTAGGTACTCCTGGTGAATTCTCTGGAACAACCATTATATATGGAGTTTCCAACTCAGGTAGTTAAATAAGACAGAGCTCCTAATCCTGAGAACACAATAACTATAGAACTGTAATGATGAAAAAGCACCTGACTACTTTTTACCAGTATCTTGAATTCCCCAGACCTCATGATTCCTCTCTTCCCTCAGAGGCCACAGGTTCCACAGAAGGCAGGGGTGGTACTGGAAGTGAATCCAGAACAGGTGAGGATGGGCAGCCTGTGGTTTGTTTGTTGCCATGAGTAACAACTCTAATTACATGGCCTTATTTTAAAGTTGGGTTTCCTACAGGATAATGTACTTCTTTTTATTTTTTTTATTTTATTTTTTGGCTGGGGGGACAGTGCATCTAAGGCCACATATATTTTCCTGTAGACCTAATATTTTCCTAAAACTTGATCAACAGCCTCTTGTAAAATGCCAAGTCTGTTGTATGTGTTCTGAGACATTTGTCCTAGAAGGTTACAGAGAAACATGTCCAGGGTAATAGTAGGAGCTAAAAACAATTTTGACCTGGGAAGTATAGGCAATCTGTGTGACTTTGGAAACATGCCTCCATAGAAGTTTTCATGTCGCCAAAACAGTACTCATATTCAGTATTTTCTTTGTGATTATGTATCTCAGAAAACTTAATTTTTGGTCTTCTACTCTTTGGCAGTACAACAGGTAAGTATGGGAGAAAACCACATATGTTCCCCTCATGGGATGCCCAGAATATTGCATCAAGGTAAACATTGGGCTCTCTGATTGCTTTTCTAACTAACAGATAATGAGAAAATGTATAGAGCACATCATCACAGAAGAGCCAGGGAAAGAGCTATTTAGATAGAATGAAGATAGGTTTGGGCTTCTTCTAGAGCAGGTTTTCAGGGAAGAAAGGTGAACACCATATTAACCACCATCGTCTTTGTCCATCAGCCACCAGTGGGGCAGCTCCTGGCACAACTGTTGCCCCTGGCAGTTCCCATACAGGTGAGTCTGCAGGTTGGCAGGGAACATTTTAGGAGTCCTTGAATAATTACATGTCTTCTCTCTTGGTGTTCTTTCCAGGAATAGTGTTATATTCTTTTCATTGCCTTTGACTACTTTGCAAATATGACTTGGCTCTTTTCTCTTCCTCAGAGGCCACAACTTCCCTCAGAGGAAGTGGGACAGTCACAGGTGAGCACTGCTGGGGCATTGCATTCACTTGCTAAAAGTACCCAATAAAGGTTGTTGGTTGAAATGTATCCATGCCCCTGCCTCCCATATTAAACATTAATAAGTAAAGTATTATAATCCTTTGAGTACTGTTCAGAAACTCAAAATTTCATTCTTATTTCCTGTGATTTGAGCAGACTGTCCTCCCATCCGACAAGACAATTGTATAGCCAGTTCATTGACACTTACACAGATGATCTAGAGAGAGATCTCCTGTCTCCCTCTTCCTGAACTCTAGAAAAAAGGAGGCCAAATAAATAGAAAAAGCTTTGCTAAATTTACTATTGGAAGAACATTCTAGGAGGACTATACAAATTACCTTTTGGGTTAAATGCTCAGATTACTGAAACATTGAATACATATGTTTTTTCCATTTATTTTCTTGTTATACTTTTCCCACTTTATGGGAATGAGGTATTGATTTATGACTACTTATTCTTTCTTAATAGCTACATCTGGGATAGTCTCTGGAAAGACTCTGGAACCTGGGAATGGCAACACAGGTAAGTTTGAAGCCCACAGGGTATGCCACTCAAGGTTGCTCAGGTGACAGATCCCTAAGGTAACATGACCTTGTATGTCCCCACATTCTATACTCATCCTGGCTTTCTTTTCTGTCAGGGGCCACAAGTTCCACCAAAGGCAGGGGCAACACCAAGATTCCATCCAGTACAGGTGAGGATGAGCAGTCCATGATTTGGTTGTTCCTGCAAATAATGACTCTGTTTGGGAGGCCTTGTTTGTTTGTTGTGCTGGAGAATAATGTGCATGTATTTAGGGACCATGCATGTAAGCCCATAAATATTTTTCTTTTTTCCCAAAAAATGCACCAGTAGACTGTGGTAAATGAGATGTCTCTTTATTCTGAGAAATTTCTTCTGGAAGGTTACATACAAATATTTCCAGGGTATTTGTAGGATTTAAAAATAATTTTGATCTAGGGAAGTACAGAAAATCTATATGACCTTGAAAACATGCCTTTATTGAGGTATTCATGTCCCCAAAGCAATACAAATGTTTAGTATTTTCTTTATATCTAAAAATGCCAGCAAGCTTAATTTTTTGTCTTATATCTCTGGCAGGGAAAGCAGGCTGGTCTCCCTCTGGGGGAATACCAGGAATGTTGCCTAGGTGGGAGTAATTAATGTCCCTCTCTTTGCTTTGAAAACAAAATGGTTGATAAGAATATACAGACAGTTCCCATCATTAGAAAATAGCTAGGGAAAGCTATTTAGATATAGTGAGAATAGGCTCTGATTCGTTCTAGAGGCAGGTTTTTAGGAAAGGGAAAACTGAAACACTGTGGTGGTCTCAGTCCTCTTTGTGTTTCAGCCACCACTGGGGAGGCTCCTGGCACCAGTGTTACTCCTGGCAGTTCCAAAACAGGTGAGTCCACAGGTGGTCTGGGAAGACTTCAGGACTCCTGTGATAATTATATGTCTCCTGAGTTATTATGCTATAAATGAGTAATATGATATTTTGTTCATAGCCCTTTAATATCTTCCAAATATGTCTTTTGAATTTTCTCTCTCAGAGGCTACAACCACCCTCATAGGACATGGAACGACAAAAGGTGAAGGAGCCACAGGTGAGCATTTGCTTGGTCATTGCATTCGCTTTCTAAAGATACCCAGTAAAGGTGGTGCCTTGAAATGTATCCATGCCACTGTTTACTCCTGTATTAGAGAACATTTTACTATTGTTCATTGACAAATATTCAGAAACTCAAATTTCAGTTTTATTTCCTGTGCTATGAGGAGACTTTCCCCCCACTCTCAAAGCAAGTGTGTAGCTGTTTGGCAGTTACAGAGATGTCTAAACAGAGAGCTCCTGTCTCCCTCTTCCTGAACTCTAGAGAAAATGAGGCCTAAGAAGTAAAAGTCTATGTTTGGCAGATTTGCTATTGCAAGAATATTATGGAAGGGGTATACAAAATACCTTATATCGTTAAAAGCCCAGTTTACTGAAATAAGAATGAATACACATTTTTTCCATTTATTTTCTTGTTACCCTTTTTGTACTTCATGATGACCACTTATTGACCATGACTACCCTTCCCTTTCTCAATAGCTACCTCTGGGCCAGTCTCTGGAAAGACTCTGGAGCCTGGGAATGACAACACCGGTGAGTTCAAAGCACACAGGGAATGCCACACAAGGCTCCTCCGGTGACAGATCCCTAAAATAACATAACACTCTACTTCCCCACAATCCAGACTAATCCTGCCTTTCTTTTCTCTCAGAGGCCACAAGTTCCACAGGAGGGGTCAGGACCACTGGATCAAGAGCTCCAGGAGGTGAGCTTTGTCAGTTTGAGGCTCTGGAATCTCTTCCTCTCTGTGTTTTTTTTTTTTTTTTTATGCTGTAATTAACAAATAAATGAGAATTAGGGCCAAGGAAAGAGATTAATTCCAGTCTAGAAAGACAATTTTTGTGCCTTCCCAACCTGGGCCATTATCCTTAAAAATTTCAGACCTGGTTGTCTATGTCAGGCAATCCTCCACTTCCTGTGTGACAGTGTCTGTTCTCTGGACATGTGCTTGAGGCTCAGAACCCTGGAGCAACCTCCCAAAAATCCCCATTTCTCTCAGGTCTGCTCTTCATGATTCTCCAAAGTTCTATCACCTTTTAACAACTATCTAACATCTTTATACTATTTCTTTTTTATTTTGTGTTCCCTCCCCACAAATGCAAATTTCACCAGGCAGAAAACTTTGTTCTCTTCAGTGACAGAAGAATGTCAGGACAGAGGAAATGCTTCAGAGTCTAAGATGATGACAATGATATTCTTATGTCACTGTATTTACTTCAATAACTACCACCATAGTTTCACATGGTGTCAGCATCAACTTGTGGGATCCCAAGCCAGTTAGGATGGGCTGCCTAAAATCACCAGTGGAAGCCATTGTTACCTGATATGTGTGTATCGTGAATACTTGATTATGATACTATCGCTAGTTGTACAAATGAGATCAGTTAAAAAGGTCTAGACATTTTCCTCTTTCCTGGATTACCCAAAAAACAACTCATTGGACATGAAATAGGTAAACTAAAATTAAGATTATTTTTCTTTTTTATAGCCTACAGTAGAATGATAATCAGTAGCAAAGCCTTAGTAGGGGGCTAAGGCATCTTTCATTTTATCTAGAAACTGAAGTTCTCAGGAAATGTGTTCCCATGGTTCAGAATCACACTACTGTTCCGGTATTGTTTGTCCTTTTGAACTACTGACCTCAAGCAATCCGCCCGCCTCGGCCTCCCAGAGAGCTAGGATTACAGGCGTGAGCCACCGTGCCTGGCCTTTGTTTGTCCTTTTAACTTCTTCATTTTTCTCATTTTAGGTACTCTTGGTGAATTCGCTACAACAACCATTATATCTGGAGTTTCCAACACAGGTAGTTAAACAAGAGTGAGCTCCTCATCCTGAGTGCACAATAACTTTGTAGAGCTGCAATGATGAGAAAGCACCTGAATACTTTTTACTAGTATCTCAGATTCCCCAGACCTCATGAGTCCTCTCTTCCCTCAGAGGCCACAGGTTCCACAGAAGGCAGGGGTGGTACTGGAAGTGAATCCAGAACAGATGAGAATGAGCAGCCTATACATAGTTTGGTTTTTGCTATGAATAACAACTCTCATTACATGGCCTTCTTTGAAACTGGGGTTCCTGCAGAATAATGTACTTATTTTTTTGGGGGGGTGAGATAGTGTATCTAAGGCCAAATACGTTTTCCTTTAGAGCTAATATTTTCCTAAAACTTGGTCAGTAACCTCTTGTGAAATGGGATGTCTCTTGTATTCTCAGAAATTTCTCCTAGAAGGTTACGTAGAAACATGTACAGGATAATAGTAGGAGCTAAAAATAAGTTTGATCCTGAGAAGCATAGACAATCTATATGACCTTGAAAACATGCCTCCATAGAGATTTTCATGTCCCCAAAGTAATATAAGTGTTCAGTATTTTCTTGATGTCTAAATATCTCAGTGATTGTAATTTTTTGTCTTACATTGCCTGGCAGTACGACAGCTAAGTATGGGAGAAAATCACCTATGTCCCTGTTGTTGAATACCAGGAATATTGCATCAAGTTAAAGACTTGGGTCCTCTGATTGCTTTTGTAATTAATGTATAATGAAAGAGTACATGGAGTACAACATCTTAGAAGAGCCAAGGATAGAGCTATTAAGATAGAATGAAGATAGACTTAGGTTTTTTCTAGAAGCAGGTCTTCAGGAACGAAATGTGAGCTCTGTAGTAACCACTGTTGTCTTTTTTTTTTCAGCCACCAGTGGGGCAGATCTTGGCACAGCTGTTGTCCCTGGCAGTTCCTATACAGGTGAGTCTGCAGGTTGGCAGGAACCTTTTATAAATCTTTGAATATTAGATGTCTTCTCTATGGTATTGTTTCCAGGAGTAGTGTCATGTTCTTTTCACGGCCTTTTGATAATTTCCAAATATGACTTGGCTGTCTTTTCTCTTTCTCAGGGGCCACGACTTCCCTCAGAGGAAGTGGAACAGTCACAGGTGAGCACTGCTGGGTCATTGCATTCACTTGCTAATAATAACCAATAAAGGTACTGGGTTGAAATATAACCATGTCAGTCTTGTCTCACATATTATACATTGTTATTTAAATTATTATAATCTTCTGTTGACTACTCTTCAGAAACTCAAAATTTCATTCTTATTTCCTGTGATTTGAGCTGACTCTCCTCCCACCCCACAAGCAATCATACACCATTTGACTGACACTTATATAGATGATCTATAGAGAGAGCTCCAGTCTCCCTGTTCCTGAACTCTAGAGAAAAGAAGACCCAATAAATAAATAGAAAAAAGTTTGGTAAATTTACTGTTGGTAGAATATTATAGGAGGAGTATATAAATTACCTTTTGTGATTAACAGCTCAGTTTACTGAAATATCAAATATACATTTTTTTCCATTTTCTCATTTTCTAACTTTTGATGATGAGGTATTGATTCATGAATAGCTACCTCTGGGCTAGTCTCTGGAAAGACTTTGGAACCTGGGAATGACAACACAGGTATGTTGAAAGCACACAGGCAATGCCGCACAAGGCTCCTCAGGTGACAGATCCCTAAGGTAACATGTCCTTGTACTTTCCCACATTCCAGACTCATCCTTGCTTTCTTTTCTCTCAGAGGCCACACGTTCCTCAGGATTGGGCAGGACTACCCCATCAGTAGCTCCAGGAGGTGAGTTTGGTCAGAGTGCGGCTTCAGAGTTCTCATCCTCCCTCCTCCCCTTTTTTCAAATGAATAAGTGCCAAGGAATGGGGTTACTTCTGGTCTGGACAGACATGTGTGTGTGCCCCACCTGGGTAGTTCTGCATAAGAATTTCAGACACTGGTTATCTACGTGAGGCTTCCCTCCACATCCTGCGTGACAGTGTCAGTTCTCTGGACACCTGTCTGAGGACCACAGCCCTGCAGCAGCCTCCCCAGGACTCCCCAGTTCTCTCCACTCTGCTCCCATAATTCTCCAGTCTTATCCCTTGCTATCATCTGGCTATAACATATTTATTACACTTGTTTATTTTCTGTGTTCCCTCTCCCACAAATGCAAATCACATGAGGCAGAGAAGTCTGTTCTTCTCTGTGAAAGAATGTCAGATAGAGAAAATGCTTACAAATATGAGTGACAGCAATATTCTCATTTTGCGTGTCACTTTAAGTCAACAGCTACCACCAAAGTTTTACTTAATCTTAGCAGCACTTCTCAGGGTCTCAAGAAAGGTAGGATGAACTACTTAAAATTACCATGGAACACGTATCTCATGTAATCCCATTCTTAAACACCTAATTATTACAATAATGAGAACATTGGAATATATTAAGCCTTCTTCTCCTCTGTATATGGCAGGGAGCCACATCACTGGATGTGAAATTAGTAAAGTGAATTTAAGCTTCCTTTTTTTATTTAATAGGCTATAGTGGAAGAAATAGTCACGATCAATAAATTGGCAAAAAAATCATTCATAGTTTATTTTTTTCTGAAACTGAGGTTCTAGTCTACGGCCATACCACCCTGAACGCGCCCAATCTCGTCTGAAACTGAGGTTCTCAAGAACGATGATCCAGTGGTTCAGGACCACATTGCAGATTTCAGTTCCTGTGTATGCTCTTAGCTCCTTTACTTTCTCATTCTAGGTACTTCTGGTGAATTCTCTGGGACAACCACTGCACCTGGTATTTCCAACACAGGTAGCTGAATAAGAAGAGAATCTTCATTTTGAATGCCTGATAAGCTTGTAGACCTGAAATGAGAAAATAGCACCTTGATATTTTTTTATCAATATATCAAATACCCCAGAGCTCTTTTTTCTCCTTTTTTTTTTCCAGAGGCCACAACTCTCAGAGAAGGTAGGGGCAGTACTAGAAGTGAATCCAGAACAGGTGAGGAGGAGCAGCCCGTGACTTGGGTGTCACCATGAATAATGACTCTTAAGATGACTTGTTTGAGAAGTAGGTTTTCCTGCAGAACATTAAGTATTAATGTAAGGACAGTCTATCTTACAATCAAGTAGATTTTTTTAGACTTATTTATTTTCTCACAAATCTATTAATATGTTCTTGTCAAATGGGATGGCTGTTGTGAGATGGGTGTAAATGAGATATACTTGTTCTGAGAAATTTCCCCGTAACATTACATACAAACATTTCCATGATGATAGTAGAAGCTAAAAACAGTTCTGATCCTGGGAAGTAGAGACAAAGAAACTTTAAAAATATGCCTACTTAGATATTTCCTTGCCTAAAGGCATTAGAAATGATTAGCATCAGATAAAGAGTACAAAATTACAATTAGAAAGGAAGAATTAGTTCTGGTGGTCTATGGCAGAGTAGGGTGCCAAGAATAAACAATATTTTAGGGTATATTTAAAAATACCTTGAAGAGACAATTCTGAACGTTCTCATCACAAAGCAATGATAAATGAGGTAGTGGATATGCTTATTACACAACATATATGTATAGCCAAACCTCATACTGTATGCCACAAATATGTAAAATTATGTGTAAATTAAAAACAAAAAATTATCAGGAAACAATTTTTTCTCTTCCCCCTTGACAGTGAAACAGTTGCGTATGGGAGAATACCACCAATCTCCCTGTCATGGAGTGCCAGGTGTAACACTCCAGGTTTGGCCCCTTGATTCCTCTGGTTATTCATTAATTAATGGGAAAACACATCATCAGAGTGGGAGCTAGAGAAAAGGTGTTTGATATAGTAATGGTAAATGGATTGCTTTTGGAGATGGGTCTTCAGGAGACAAACAGGGGTCACTGTGATGATTCCAATCCCTTTTGTGTTTCAGCCACCACTGGGGTAGCCCCTGGCACAACTGTTGCTCCTGGCAGTTCTAACACAGGTGAGTCAGTAGGCTATTGTGGAATCTTCTACATGTCTGTCCTCCCCTAATTATATATCTGCTCTGGTAGTATCTTTAGCAGGAGTGCCACCATATCTTTTCCATGACCACTAAATATTCCCCAATGAACTCTTTCTTCTTTCTCTCCTTCAGAGGCCACAACTTTCCTAGGAGTAAGTAGAACAACAAGAGTTGGAATAGGCACAGGTGAGTGCTGCTAGGCTATGACCTGTAATCCCTAATAACTCCTTAAACAGTTTTCTGAAAATGTCTATACTATTTATATACAGTATATTGAGAAAATTCATAAATTCATTGTATTGCATCCTTATTTCCTGAGCTTATGAGGGCCTTCACTACACCATCATGAAGTCAAACTAATGACAGATAAATTAGTGATATGGAAACAAATTTCCAGCCAGGCGTGGTGGCTCACGCCAGTAATCCTAGCAATCTGGGAGGCCAAGGTGGGCGGATTGCTCAAGGTCAGGAGTTCAAAACCAGCCTGAGCAAGAGCGAGACCCCGTCTCTACTATAAATAAAAGAAACTAATTGTCCAACTAATATAAAAGATACCTGCACTTGAATGTTTATCACAGCACAATTTATAATCATAACAATATGGAACCAAGCTAAGTGCTCATCAATTCTTGAGTGTATAAAGAAAATGTAGCATATATATACCATGGAATACTAGTCAGCTATAAAAAGGAATTAAATAATGTCATTTGCAGCAACTTGGATGGAACTGGAGAACATTGTCCTAAGTGAAGAAGTATCTCAGGACTGGAAAAGCAAATACTATATATTCTTACTAATAAGTAGGAGTTAAACAATGGGTACATATGAGCACAAAGTGATTTAAAGGACTTGAGAAGCCAAGAAAGAGGGGAGTGGGATAAAAGCTAACCATTAGGTACAGTGAACACTATTCTGGTGATGGACACCCACAAGCCCTGACTTAAGCATTACATAGGTATCAATGTAAGAAAAAGAGTTGTACCCCATTAATTAATATTTTAAAATTGAAAAAATAAGTCAAGTATACAAGCAGTTCAACTGGTGACCACCATCCCTTTGTTGTTGTTGTTAGGTACTGCTGGTGTAGTCTCTGGAAAAACTCTGGAGCCTAGCAGTCACAACACGGGTAAGTCTGGAAATACATACCAAATCTGGTAAAACAATAGTACACAGAATAGATGCTTAATAGATATTAGTACAATGGTAAAATCTATAAATTTAAAGCTTTCACCTTATTTGCTTTAATAGGTACAACCACAGTTTCACCTGGAACCAACAGCAATTCACCGAGCTCCAAGCCAGGTAGGGTGGGCTAAATGTGTGAAAGCATTAGAGTTAAGCAGTTCTGTTTTAAACATGTGAATATCAAAATTCCTCAAGTAATTTAGTAAAATTTAGAAAGATGAATCTCTTGTGTGCTTTTTTTCCTTCGTAAGGCCCCACTGTTACACCCAGGAATCCAACATCTGGAAGTGAAACAGGTGAGGGGGATATAAGATCCTCACCCATATGAAGAGAATATGGAATGGGCACCCCGGTAGCAACAAGAATGGATAGGTGGGCCAGGAAATGAAATGGTGGTCACTCATGGTTAATTTCCTTCAGAAACAGAGGTTTTCATGAAAGTTCTTCCAGGGGTTCAAGGCCTCATTCCTACTTCCAATACTGATCAAGGAGTTAATATTGTGTTGATCTCTTTCTTTTTCTTATTTTAGGTACTATGGGAGAATTCTCTAGGACAACCATTATATCTGGAAGCTCCCACACAGGTAGGTTAATAAGCAGGAAATCTCCATATTTAACCTCATTGTATAGTTAGTAGACCTGCTCTGATGAAATATCAACATAATTTTTTTCCCCCAATACCACAAATCCTGAGACTTCATCATTTATAATTTTCCTCCCTCAGAGGCCACAACGTTAACAGGAGGCAGCAGCACTCCTGGGGCTCGGCCCAGCCCAGGTGAGAATGAACTGCTCACATTTTGAGGATGAACATGAATTATAGCTCTCCGTAGGATTGCCTGCTGGGAGGTGTTTTCCTACAGAGTTATTTGCATTTATTTTCAATATTTTATTACACTGAACAAGTTCTCAATACCAGCCTTGAGCCTCACAGTTGTAACTTCCTAAAGATGGGCTGCTGTACAGTCAGTATGAGAGAGTTCTCCTGTGAAGCCAGGCACATCAGTAAGGAGTTGGGGGAGCCAAGGTATATTTCTGGAAAGAAGAGAAAACAGTGTGAATCCTGGAAGCAGGCCTGTTCCACATAAGGGTTTTCTTACTCAAAAAGCAATAATGATATTAAATATATTCCCATGTTCTTGGCACATCAATTATTTTTCTGGTTTTTATCCGACAGTAGGGACCACTGCAGCACCAGGAGGCCGAGCAACTGGGAGTGTGACAGGTAAACCTGGGACAAAGCCACTTTGCTTCCCTGTCTTGGAGTTGGAGGAATTTCAGGGGAAATAAGGAAATGTACAACTTGGAAACATTACTATTTTAATTGCTTTGTTAATGACATGGCTCATAGGAAAGGTGTATGATTCTCACCTCACCAGGAAGCAGAGAAAGGGCCCTTTGATATAACAAAGATACATCCAGATTCCTTCTAGAGGCAGGTCTTCAGGAGATAAACATGAGTCACCATGATGACCTCAGACCCTTTGTGTTTCAGCCACCACTGGGGTAGCCCCTGGCACAACTGTTGGCCCTGGCAGTTTCAACACAGGTGAGTCAATAGGGTGGCAGAGAATCTTCCAGGAGTCCACCTGTGATGAGATTTCTCATCCACTGTTATTTTGTGTAGGAGAACTATCATATCTTTTTCCATGGTTCTTAAATATTTTCCAGTCATCTCTATCTCATTTTCCTCTCCTACAGAAGAGGCAACAACTTCTGTAGGAGAAAGTGGAACAACCAGAGTTGGAATAATCCCAGGTGAGCTCTGTTCAGGCATTAACTATACTTTCTAATAACTTCCCAAGAGTCTTGCCTGAAATATTTCATAACTCTTTGAATTTCCAAGATTTGGAATATTAGGCAAAAATTTTGCAGATGTTCAATATGTGACATCAATAAATGCAATTTAGATACTTCAACTTTTCCTCTTTGTCATGTGTCTAAGGACCCTTCATCAGGGGTCATGGGGCACATTCCCTGATAGTTATATAGGTAGTTTGGGCCCAAATCTCTATCCCTGTGACTAAACCCTAAAAAGTGGGGGTGAGTGATACGGGACTTTCTCTGCAAACTTAACTGAGGGAATGATATGTTCCATGGAAAATATATGGACTAACTCTTAAAATAGAAAACTAGACAGTCTGGAGAAATAAATTCACTTGTATATCGGAGAAACAAAGTTTTTTTTGTTTTTTTTTCCTTTAAGAGCCTATGCCCATTTCATGTCATTGACTAAATGAGCACAATCCCTTCTTATTTCAGGTTCTACAGAGGGTATCTCTGACAAAACTCTGGAACCTGGAAGTGCCAACACAGGTCAGGAATTCTGAACATGGCACCTGGGGCAATACAGCCAATGGGAGACCCAGAGTGCCCTGCCCAGTCTGTGTTTCTTCCTTTTTTTTCTCTCTCAGAGGCCACAACTATCCCAGGAGGCAGTGGGAATACTCGAGCAGGACTGCCAGGAGGTGAGCTTTTCAGTCTGAGGCTTGGGGGCCTCTCATCATCTATTTGGGTTGCTACAATGAACAAATACTATGGAGGAGTGTAAGGCAGGTGGTTTTCATTTTTCTCTTGGGCCATATTGTATTGAATCAACCTGGGCAGTTATTCTGCTTAGGAATTCCATGTCCTCAGGTGTCACAGCCAGGCTATTCCTCAGTGTCCTGGCTTACAAAGACATTTCTTTTTTTTCTGTCAAGAGGTATGAGAGCATATTGCGTATATTCCAGATCCCAGGGGTTCCAAATTTCCAATCCTTCTTACGCAGTTGACCTTTTCCCCGATAGCGTTCCACTTTCTCTCATTCTTCTCGTTTACTTATACATGATGTTTACTGTTTATTCTCTATCTCCCTTCACGAGAAAGCTTCATGAAGGCAATTGATTATGCAAATACCCCAGTTTGTATCAAAAGCCCAACTTACAGAGATAAAACCATACTTTATTCCTTCCTTAAGCACCTCTGGTATTCTGCGGCCCAAAAAGGTCGGGGACATGTCGAAGCGGTAGGGGGCTTCACAGGTTATAGGTGGGGTTAAAGATTCTGTTGGCTGGCAATTGGCTGAGAGAGAGTTAGTCTTTATCTGAGAGCCAGAAAGGATATGCTTTACTTTAGAAAAGGGTATGAGCACCTCCTGGGAGGGTCCAGACAGACGGAAACTGTAATTTTACAATAGGCGCCTGCTAGCATGGTTTTAAAGATGCTTTAAATTTGAAGAATAGGCATCC